AGTGGTTGTCTATCCGCTCAGCTTGTGCCGCGTTTAGGTAGTTAAGCTCCTTCAACCAAGATGGCTTCTGATCCTGGCTTTCCTGGCTTGCATTCCAGTTACCGCCTCTCGGAACCTGAAGACCGTCTGCGCTCCCCTTGTGTCTTGTTTGCGGAGTGGGTAACCCGTCGATTGCCTCGACATGGGGCGTTGCAGGAGCTATCGTCAAGTAAAATGGCTTGTTTTGTCCAGCTAGGTAGTCGAGTCGATCAAGACTATTCATCATTAGCCCGTTATATCCTAGAGGGATACGAAGTGTCGACACTCACGCCTTGACTCGGATCACGTCTAGTTGATGGAATCCTTTGTAGTGGATAGGGGTTTCTCCGTTCTGGGACATTACAACATTGTTGTACAGATAAGTAAAGGGGTCGACCTGTCAAATCAGTCCTGTTAGCTAATGTATGTTTACTTCCATAGCACCAAAGCACCGTAGCACCATAGCACTTACTAGCATATCAGTATGTGTCCATCCCTTTGGAGGATTCATGTAGAGTGCTCTAGTGTATCCGTTCATGAATTTACCGATGTCTATCAATGTTAAGCTACGTTTCTCGCCGAAGAATATCAGATCACCCACACTCTGCATTATAGCCAGCAGCCACGAGCCAGTGAGGCAAATAATCATCATTCTCCTTCGATACCATGAACTTCGCATAGTTACCGCCGGGCGAATCGACATTCGTGATGTTTGTATTGTGCGCAGCTTGCCCTCTCAGTAGGGAGGCACGGCTGGGACAACATAGAGCAATAGTCGCGTAGTGATTCATGAATTGTGTTCCCTTCTGGACGAGTTCCTTCTGCAGGATAGGCATATGTTCAGTGGACCCAAGACGGAAATCTTGATCATCCGGAAAGATGAGGACGATATTTGGCTTTGTTGCGTTCTGGGCAAGACATTGTGTTGCGCCAGCAAAGGCAAGCAACATGTATCTGCGAAAACTCATATTGACGACGCAGGGCCAGGGGCAAATCCTATGATATGATAATATCCATGAGCTCTTAGCTCTGTAGAAAGGGGAACTTCATCCCTCTTTATATATCCCCATCGGTCAAAGTGCACGGTAAGCCTTCTCGTCGTTCTTACGAATCGTACTTCGGGATTGATGGATTGTTTGCAGGGCCCCGATAAAAAGCCTAGACCGTGCTTCATGCAAAATCAATATGAATGCTATGTATTCACGGTCGCCATTGTGGCTGTGAGAATTCTTCCATGAGCATGGACGTCATCCATGGATAGCATAACATATAACTTTAGTTGGGGTTTCTCCCATCGAGGTGGTAATCTCCTGGACCATGGTGGTAGTTTCTGCAATATGCGAATGACAGAGAGCTACGGTAAATTTCCCCATGCAGTGGACGTATAGGTGCACGAATAAAAGCTCAGAACCAGCCAAGAGGGTCGCGACCGGGCTTGTCTACGCATGGTACATCAGATAATCACCGACATGTTCCTTCGCTTCAAAGTGGATAGTTTGGAAGTTAGCAGTGCCCCCATAGCCAACAGCTAGTATGGGGAACATGGTGACATCTAGTCAAAATGCGGAAACATTTACGATGTATCCGCCTAAGCAAGTGTTCAGGCCCCCGTTAAGACAACCTATCTAGTTAAGATATTCAAGCAACTATGAGTAGAGCACCCTTATTTGACCCCCAAAACATGATCTAGGTACTAGTTGACACTGGAAGACATCTCGCAAACATCCATGGATTACTCTAATTCGAATGAGTCAGTAATGCCATTTTTGGTTATATATCAGGCTCAACGGCATGACGGTTATGCCTCATACTTCCCATAACCTAGTCATCATTGGGGTTATCAGTAATTTTTCTAAAGTATAAGGATCATCGCGGACATACTTCGTACGGCACATACGAACTATATATCATCCTCACACAACTCCCAGTATTTACTAGTGTAACTCGATACTCTTACTTTAAGAAGGACAAGCTTGCCAACGTACTTATTGCTTGATATGATTTGAGAGCTACAGTAGGGTCACGTAGCAGAACAGTAGTAGGACTTGTTGAAATCCAAAAGGAGCCCTCGTAATATTGCTTTTTTTCTTTACCTTTCTATCACGTAATGTGTTTATATATTCAACACCGTTTTCAACCGTTCTTGGAATACCGGTGACATGCCGACATGCCATCCATTGTCTCTTAACTTTAGAAGAGGTGGAAGAGAGAAGCATCCAAGCTCAATACGTCCTCACGCAATAGAGCAGTGCTGACGGGCTCACAAAGTCGATAGAACCGTCTAAACAGCGCCAGTTCCTTAAATTGTTGAACTTGGAACGTTTTCGTACGCGGCAATAAAGATTGATGAACATGGCTTCGAGTCGTTACGTCAGCGCCGTAAACTTATCCTAATTGAGGAACGGTGGCGCATAAATCCGGAGATAAGCTCATAATAAAGCTCACAACAAACACCATCTGACCGGATCGACCATCCGAACGGATCTAATGTGAAGACAAATCTCCCAAGGCGATGATCACATATTAACCGTGATCGCGCCTCGTAGTGGGAGGGCAATCACAGTCGCGTATAACATCAGAGCCAGAAACCATAACGGGCTTTCGTCTCCCTGGCCTGAACATCTCAAACAGACAACCAACACACATCGGCGGGACCAGCAACAATCGTCCCAAACGTACACAGGGAAAAAATACATGTATAAGTTCCTAAAGCTAAAGTCGGCATTTAAGTCCGCGAACGATGTCAAGTATGACTTGGGAGTATCTGGGGGTTCGAGAAGGCTCAAGACAGAAGTTAGCAGCAATGGAAAAAGGGACTATCATTACACGACTATGCGACAATACCCACCTTAAGCAGCTGCTATACAAGAGCACGGCGACAAGAAAACAGCAACAATAGAAATCAGATGACGAGGACGTGGCCGAAGCCTCACGAAAGCGCGACACAACAATCTCTTGCATTCTATTTTGAAGGTATTATCGCGAATAATATTAATTTTTATTATCAGTAATCTCCCTTACAACGCGACCGCGGCGCCTAGAACTCCCATAGCGACAGCGGCGGCCGCGAACATGCCCGTTTCCCTTGGCGAGGCGTTTTGGGACGCGGTCGTGGTAGCGGATGTGCTGGCGCTGGCTCCCGAAGAGGCAGCTGCCGAGGCGTCGGCGCTGGCAGATCCGGTGCTGGAGACGACGCTGGTGAGGCCGGACTTGGTAGCGGTCGTGGTGGCCGACGCGCTACCCGTCGCCTTGACGCCGTTGCACGCACCGGCGGAGAAGCTCGAGTACATAGTAAGCAGCTGTTCCATCTCGCTGGTGATGACCGAGGGCGCGGCACCCATATCGGCCGAGCAGCTAGTCGCGATAGCATCGATGTCGGAGTTGTGCGCCGATAGGTACGAGTACATCTGTAGGTTATAGGTAGAGAATTCCGACAGGACGGTACTGGGTAGCTGGGCAGCAAAGCTGCACAGCCCCTCGATGCTCTGCCAGTTCGCGCCGCCGGTGAGAGGCTTGTCCAACGCGTCCTCAAGCGCAGGCGCCGCGGTCGGGAAGCCGTTCGTCCAGGACGTAATACGCGATGCGCACTCCGGTGAGCTCGCCGAAGTGGGCTCGGAGTCATCGACTAAGGTCGTGGTGCGGGGAGCGAGGTGCGCCTGAGCGGTGGCGGTGGCGCTAAGGGCCGCAGTGAGGAGGGCGATTCTGGCGTGCATGATGATGGTAGTATTAATATTATTTTGTTTTAAAAGAATGTAATCAGTTGAAGAGATCAGGCTGATCTTAATGATGTTCTGTAGCAACGGGAGAGCAGAATATCGTCGTCTTGACTCGCGCGCTCGATCGAAAAGAAATAAAAGAAGCCATCGTGACACCGAGGGCCTGCGGAGAGTTTTATAGGAAGCGCGAGACGCCGCCCCTTGACGAGTTACGAGACAAGTTAGTACCTAGTAAGACCAAGCAACGGTATGACCGTGATGTGTGATGTCGGGTGTGATGTGTTAGGACATATAGGGCCTAGCCTAGGCCTTGCTCAGGGGATGTCGGGACTGCAACATCGGCTACAACTCCCCTGTACGCATGAGCTAGACGAGACGGGAAAAGGCTTGGCTGTTAGCCTTGATTTTATACGCTAGGTCCTTAGCTTAGCTCAGACGCTATAAATTTGCTCATGAGGTCAGTGAAGTCAGTGAAGTCAGTGAAGCTTTTCACTCAACTTCAAAATATTACCTAAGGTATACGAAGTACTAGATATCAGTAGATCTCATCTTCAGCCCTTATCGCACTCCAGAAAACCTTCATAAATAAAGTTATTCAGCGATTTAACCTGAACGGCAAACGATCTACCTTAGATTCGAGGGTCTGCCAAATTTTATTTCCACAATATGCAGAAATGCGGCGGGAGTGCTGGCCTTATTAAACGACCCCATGTCTTCTAGGACTGACTAGTCCTGGTAGGTATTGGTTGGGTGGTCCACTTTCGCTCTTGCGAGCTAAGCGGATTGGCCAAGCACCGAAATGAGACATCAGATTGATCGATTTATGAAATCCTTCTCGGTACCTAAGTAAGATTAGATGCCTAATACAGACTGACAGACCGCTCAAGAGAAGAAGAAAGACTTTGGGCATGTTATTAGTCGTACACGCATGATCTTGAAAAGTCCGTCTTGGATTCGACCCGTCGCATCAATGCTTTGACAGTCCGAAGCAAAAGTAAGGTCATAATAATATAGCGCTGGTCTAAAAGAAAAAAGAAGAAACAAGGGAGAGAAAAAGCATTTGAGCTGAGCTAAGGGTACAGCCGGGATCCTACTAGGTAGATAAACTTTCGTGTAATCGGGTTACAAAAGTAAAAACCCTCCAAAAATAACTTGTCGCACTTTCCGCCCATAACACCTCAACCATTAATAAACAACAACAATAAGGAGGCAAAAAGAATTCACGATAATATTCATCCAGATATTCTGACTGGCAAAAAAGCAAAAGGGTTTGGCCGGGGATTGAACCCGGGACCTCTCGCATACATAAGCTGTAGGGTTTACCCTAAGCGAGAATCATACCACTAGACCACCAAACCATTCATGGCAACGCCGCTTGTCGCGCTGATCAAGTTATTGGTCGGGACCTTATGGGTGCTTATAATATTGTTTTGCACTAGCTCAACCAGCTCAGCCTAGATTCGGGAGTTTGTGGGGTAATGAGTCGGAGCTCCTGTGGGGAAATACGAGACCCCTGGGGCCTGAGTTGCACTGGGAATTCCGGTTAGACGAATTTGAAGCAGAGAGAAAACAGCGAAGAAAAGTACAGAGTATAATAGTAAGTGTCCAAGTCATTTCCCATAGGTTGGATGATATGGTAGATTTGGTATATCTGGGAAAGTGAATGGCGGTCTAAAGTACCTGAGTAGCTTCGAAAATAGTAATGAGCAAAGTTGAATCTTGTATAAGGTTATGAATATCATGCCTAAAAGATACCTACATAGGTACTCCAGCTTAAAAGATAGCATTACAAGTTTCAATATCACATACATAAGTCGAATAGATGTAGTCTGAAATACTAAAATCAGAGTCTATTGCCACATACGTGATGCTGGCTGGCTGGATGAATGGGTCGAAGTTAAAAGACAGTAGAGGTAAAATCTGAAAGAACCTGATAACATGAACGAATGATGTTGTATCATAAAAGCATCCAAACTGGAGAAATTCGTAAACCATGCCGTAACCCCTTGGTATACTCCATTACGTGAACCTAGAATAGTACCCCCTGAAACCCAACCGACATGAATCGTAGAAGCGTAAAGGCGACAGGAAATATAGAAACTCATATCCAAATAGTGTATCTTCATATCCTCACTCGTAACAAGTATCGGTTTCTAGGCGAAGCAAAGCCACCCTCCGGGCCGTAGGTCGCATCGGCTCCATCATCAACATCCACTCGCAGGTCAATCCAGGTGCTAGTTTATTCATTTTTATCCCCTGGCTTTCCATCTCTTCATTACCTACGCCACCTAAGACATCCCATTCGTATTGCCTGTTAAACCATTTGTTGTACAAGTATTTCTGACGATTGTTCCAAGCCTCATCGTTGTAGTGGATCTCGTCATGAGGAAGACCATCGGTGTTCTCCTTGGCGTTCAAGAACTTGATGAGGCTGTCGACATCACTGGAGCAGTGGCCCCCCGCAACCAACTTCCTTATCAGAGCATCCCTAGCGGTTGCGTCGTGTTTTTCAATGGGAATAGGATAAGTACCCTCACGCGAAAATACCCGAGCCTCTAGAACCGGGTCGCTTCTGTGAGGCTGTACGAATGTCTCACCTACAAAGTCAATGCTCTTCAACATTGGGAAGGCAATTGGGCTATATAAGCTGTCGAGAAGCCGCGGAGTGTGGTTTCCGCGCATCCCGTAATCTATAGTGACGTAATGGGCGCGCTTGGTGAATTCTCTCAGGGCATCTATGCCCTCTAGATCGCGTGTCTGGGGCTGTAGAAAAATGCTATCTCGACTTGCGTCGAACCACGCCCACTTTGGGGACATACTTTTCGGGTGTGTAGACCATGGCGGTTTCTCCATATTCCTGATTGACGAAAGCTTGCCGTGCTTACATGCCACGGCCCGAGACTCACGACAGACCTGGGCTACCGAGGGTGGCGGCAATGGAGATACCAATTCATAATGAACGCTCACAATTTCACGTGGATTAAGTGGATTTTCGTGAAGGCTTTCTTTGAAGCATACCATTCGCCGTGGAATGGCCAAGTCCCAGATCATGAGTCGAATTTCGGTTGGCAATTTCCTGAATTGGTGAAACGGGCGCCCTTGATAATGGATGGCTCTGCGTAATGACCGTATTTCCTTTTGTAGAACTTTCGTGTGGGCGTTCAGCGCATCCACTACAGCGTCCTTTGCCAATTTGGTGATCATTTCATTACTCCTTATGCATGTGCCGAGTCCTTCAGAGATGCGATCTTGTCCTTCGGTGATCTGTTCTTCTACAGTGTGAAGAAGTGCTTTCACGCCATCATCGCCTTCCATACCCTCCACGCAGTCTTCGATGGCTCCTTGCAAAGACCCGATATTATCCCCGATTTCTTCCAAGATCACCTTCCAGTCATTGGATTCTTCTTGCACAACCTCTTCCAGGTGTTCGAATCTGTCGGGAAAGTCGTCGCGAAGGCCGGCGATAAATGCAAGGACGTGGTAAACTAATTCCCTGGTGGTAAATCGAGCCATGTCAAAGCGATGGCCTCCGCACATGGGAGCACCCATATTTCCACCAAAATCACCGTCTTCGTTATCCATTGAGTCTCATAGAAGATATCATCTATCGCCTCAAGATGTAGGAAGTTGAGAGAGCTCAATTGGGCGAGGAATTGGTTGCGGAACGAGGGAAAATGACAATATTCTGTGCGGAGGAAGATCATCAGGCGACGCAGTGATCGGGAAGAGCATAGGAAGAAAAGAAAAGGAAAAATTACCGGACTAATAACCTGGACGCTATGGCCATCTCTCGCACATGGCTCCCATGGGTCGATATCGGACATGGCGTTCAGCCAACAGATCTTAGCTGCATATTCCAAGTCAATTATTGACAATAATTTCTTGTCAGTAATCATTGCCTTGTATGATTGACCAGCAGACAAGCAGATAGACAGACAGGTAGGTAGGCAGGTAGATAGGCAGACAGGCAAGCTACAAGATGGCAAACGGCATACGACAAGATGACAAGATGTAACAAAATTACAATACCAAGTAGATATAAATAAGGCATCAAACTATTTTCTTTCTCAGACCAGAACTGGAGTCTATATAATAGACTTAACATTGAATAAGTATGCAGTGTATGTAACGACCGGCGGTAAGAGGCAGCGATCCTCGAGATTCAAGAAACTCTCACATGCTTCCATATCGGCGTCAATTATTTGCTCTAGAGCATAGAATAGAGGAAGACTCGACCATAGCAAGCATCTAGGCAATCTAGAAGCTCGCTCAAGTTCACCTACGATAAATGCCCACGTACAATTTGTTGATTAAAAGAAAGGAAAAAGAGAAGAGACGGTTTTCAGAAATTTCAAATTAATTATTAAACCGACATCTACCAGATCAGACCCCAGTTTCCCATTGGTCCAAGCGTCGCGCTAAGTCCTAGGCAGCTAGTAGGGCCAAACCTTGAAATTGAACAGAGTGAGGCCATTACTATAGAAATACGTAGATTTGTGTGACCTCAATCCGATGCCTCAAAAACCGGGTCGGAATATCCGTAGCTATAACCAATCAGAGAGGGGCTGAAAATAATCGCGATTTAATCGCACTAGCTCCACTTGGACCACTTGGACCACTTGAACCACTTGGTGAGAACATCCAATTATTCCCGACCAAGGACCAAAGCAAAGCACCTCACAACTTGAACGAAGACGTCAACATTTTGAACGGACCTTCCGATTAACCACCCCCTCCCTCCGACTCGAATCCTACTCTTCTCCTCCTCCGTAATTACCTAATTCCGTCGAGACGACACGATGCTTCGACAATCTCTGGCTCGTTCGGCTTGGCGGACTGGCCGACAAGCCGCCAGATACTCCAGAGCTTTTTCTGCGACGCCACAACGACCGGCGGAGGTGGAGCTTACAATTGGTGAGCACGTCGCTCTATAATCGCAATCAGATAGTCTACGACGGTTGCTAACGTCCATGTAGATGGAAAGAAGGTGTCTATTGAAGGTATAGACCTATTTTTGGACCCCGCTGGGTACCCGAACGCCTGTACTAATTAAGCCCGCAGCTGGCTCAGCTTTAATTCAAGCCTGCGAAAAGGCCGGAAGTACCGTCCCTAGGTCAGTCCTTCGCTCATATGAGAGATTCAAGAAGTTTCAAGGGGAATAACTAACTATGTATGCGTAGATATTGTTATCATGAGTACGATCGATCCCATATAATCCACCTCGCGACCACGGCCACTAACAAACTGGGATAGGAAGTTGATGATAGCCGGAAACTGTCGTATGTGTCTAGTCGAAGTCGAACGAGCACCGAAACCCGTCGCTTCTTGCGCATGGCCAGTACAACCCGGCATGGTTGTGAAGACAAATTCACCTCTTACACACAAAGCCCGAGAAGGAGTCATGGAATTCCTTCTGGCGAATCACCCCTTGGATTGCCCTATCTGCGATCAGGGTGGCGAATGTGATCTTCAAGATCAATCTATGCGATACGGTGCCGATAGGGGCAGATTCCACGAGATTGGTGGCAAGCGAGCGGTGGAGGATAAAAATATTGGACCCTTAATTAAGACATCGATGAACCGATGTATCCACTGCACAAGATGTATTCGATTCGCAAACGATATAGCTGGTGCCCCCGAGATGGGTTCGTTCGGGCGAGGAAACGACATTCAGATTGGTACATACTTAGAAAAGAACCTAGACTCAGAGATGTCGGGCAACGTCATCGACCTTTGCCCTGTAGGGGCCCTCACATCAAAACCATACGCCTTCCGAGCTCGTCCCTGGGAACTAAAGAAGACCGAGTCAATTGATGTACTCGATGGTCTAGGATCTGCTATTCGTGTGGATTCGCGTGGCTTAGAAGTTATGCGAGTTCTTCCCCGGTTAAACGATGACGTCAACGAAGAATGGATCAATGATAAGACTCGATTCGCCTGCGACGGCTTAAAGACTCAGCGGTTGACTATGCCGCTAGTACGACGAGAAGGCAAATTCGAACCGGCACCGTGGGAGCAGGCGCTAACGGAGATCGCGGCCGCCTACCAACAGCTTGCGCCTGCGGGTAATGAGTTCAAGGTCATCGCTGGTGAACTAACCGAGGTTGAGTCTCTAGTTGCCATGAAGGACCTAGCCAATAAACTCGGGTCTGACAACTTGGCGATAGACACACCGTTGGGAGGCCAGCCTATCGCCCACGGTGTTGACGTCCGATCAAACTACCTATTCAACTCCAAGATCCTCGCTGTTGAAGACGTTGACGCCCTACTCCTTGTCGGCACCAACCCAAGACACGAGGCTGCCGGTCTAAACGCTCGTATCCGAAAGCAATGGCTAAGGTCAGATCTAGAAATCGGT